GTGAGTGAGTGAGGGAGTGAGTGAGTGAGTGAGGGAGTGAGTGAGTGAGTGAGTGAGGGAGTGAGTGAGTGAGTGAGGGAGTAAGTGAGTGAGTGAGTGAGTGAGTGAGTGAGGGAGTGAGTGAGTGAGTGAGTGAGGGAGTGAGTGAGTGAGTGAGTGAGTGAGTAAGTAAGTAAGTAAGCAAGTTTATTCAGTGTTCAAAGGCCATTGGTCCATATCACATCACACAAAACACTCATTTTGATAAATAAAGTTTCCATAATGAATAAGTACAGGTTGTGTATATATCTCTTATCATGAGTCAAACATTGTATATTTCTGTCACTGGGCCGAGTCAGACTGGGAGGGATTAACAATTTCCTTTGATGGACAAAGTGTGAACAATAGAAAATAAAGTGCAATTCATCTTCAATTTCATGAGAGTTACACCTCTCACATAAGTGCGAATTAGTTAATTTCCACCGATTGAGATTTGTGTAAAAACAAGAAATTATGTATCAACTAGTTTTAGTTTTAGTTAAGGAGCTTAAAACAATAATAATTGTAACCTCCTTGGTTTTAGTAGAGGTTTTACGGCGGAATATGAGAACTTCTCTGTGTAGAAACAAGAAATGTATCAATAGGACGACATTTTATTCTTATAGATCTTGTATATAATTCTGTGATCAGCAAGAAGATGGGAACTTTTCAGTGCAGAAAGAAGAAATGTATCAGTAAGAAGATGAGAACTTTTCTGTGTAAATACAAGAAATTATTTATCGGCTAGTTTTAGTTTTAGTTAACGAGCTTAAAACAATAATAATTGTAACCTCCTTGGTTTTAGTAGAAGTTTTACGGCGGAAGATGAGAAGTTTTTTCAGTGTAGTAGAAACAAGAAATAATGTACAAGAAATAATGTATCACGAGCACAGCATTCTATTCTTATACAGTGGAACTCGGACTCAACGAGGTCGCCGGGGCGCTTTTCCCTTTCGTCAACCCGCAGCCACCTCCCAATCGTCAGCCACCCCCAACCT